TTAACCCCAACTTTATATTTACTTGATATTTGATATGAAACGTTTTCCTGTAAGTGCAACGGTGCAGTATAATAAAATTAATTTTTAATTTATATCCTTTTTTCCCCGTCTATTTTTCTAATAATATTTGTCAAACATTCAATTAAGTTTGACTTGATATTGAAATTTTCCATATCTTCTAATATAGCATCTATTTTCTTTTAATTGGGAACGTACTATGCTTGTGACCAAAATTGTATAATTTTATTGGAATTGCTGTATAATACGTAGTATAAAATAAAGGAAAATGCTACAGTTCCCTTACTATTCCACCGGATTTATAACCGTTCGATCATCATGTAATCGTCGTGGATAATTAATTTAATGGTTACAAACCCCGACATAATAGTTCCATAACAGGATTGTGATATCTCCTAAAATATACGGTATATAAATAAATAATTTAATTTTAAGGTAAACACTTTTAGGTGTCAATTAGACATTGAAATTCATTTTCTTATTGTTTTCTATACTTTTGGCATTGGAGCGTGTCTGACACGCTAGAGAAAGAGAGTGATTGAGAGGTGTGAAGTAGGTAAAAACGTTGACTAAATCCCAGTTGACTTTTATTCAGTGTTCTAAAAGTCGCTAGGCGCCCGCTAGGCGCTCGACCAGCGCCTAGCGCCTAAGCGCCTAGGCGGGGCCTAGGCGGGACCTAGAAATGAATATTAAATACCTTATTTTTTTTATTTATTTAACTACTAACAAAATAAAAGTATCTCAACTTATAATAAATCGACACACCTAAGTCCAAATAATAATATTAATATATTTTAAAGAAAACATGAGAACAAAATAATGTAATTAGTATTTAAAAAAAAAAAAACTGAAAAATTGCCGCCGAGCCTGCCTAGGCGCCGCCTAACCGCCTGGCCGCTGAGCCCGCCTAGGCCGCCTAGGAGTGCCTAGGGCCGCCTAGGCCCGCCTAGGCGCCGCCTAGCCGCCTGGCCGATTTGTATAAATCGGAGGCGCCCGGGCACCGCCTAGCGCCTAGGCGCCGCCTAGGCGGCCGCCTAGGCCGACTTTTAGAACAGTATTTTTTTTTATTTATGTTTACGTTTGGTTTTGGTGACATACTGTCATAGTCTGGGGAACGAATACGTGGCGCGATGTGAAACTCGTATTTTATATATACTCTAACTAACGTATTAAATGAAAAAAAAAATCATAGTCAAAATCCTCGTCACAACAAATCATCATAGTTAAATCCTTTCGACTCGTGATTTTGGGATTTGATTTCTTAAAATATTTGATGTCTCTTTGTAATATTCGAGAATTTTTTTTTTATCATTGTATGACTTGAATAAAAAAATAGAGATATTTGTAGTCATTCTTAGTTGATTGTGAAATATATATTTTTATAATACCAAAAAATATATAGCATCAAAATAAAAAAGAAATTGTATTTCAATTTTCAGGACATAAAAAAAGACGTTATATATATTGGGCACCATCCAAAATATGACTTGTTAAAATAAACTGTGTAACTCAAAGTTAAATATTGTTATTAGACGGTGAACATATTTTTATTAAATAAACACCTATTTTTATTAAATTAACTCATATGATTATTAATTGCTGGATGAATAAAATTTATTGAAGCTTGCCAACAATTATATATATATATTTGAATTTATTAAAATGATATTTTTTAATCTCTATCTCTCTCACATGCGCGCACACACACATATTTAATTATTTATTATCCATAACTCTTTTTTATTTTAAAATAATTTAATATTTTTTTAAGTTTTATTATATTGTAATTATATTTAATATTTATATAGTTGTCGTTCATCATCTATTATTTTCACAAATATCTTTAACTTTATAATAATAAATAATTTAAAATATAATGCGTATGGATGTAAAATATTTTAAATTTTATGAAATATAACTTATATATTCTCTTAAGTATAATATTCATTCAGATGTTTTATTTTTCGTTTTCAATATCATTATAATGTTCATCGTTTTGCAGTCTTCATTTAAGCCGAAACATAAATATTTTGTAGACCACTCTCTTGTACAGTTTTCCATTTCGGTTTCATATTTCTGTTTCAATATACTTGCCTTTAATCTTATTAATTTCTAGGCCATTATTCTATACTCACCATAACCCCACGATTAAACCACCCCATTATTCGTAATTGATTTGTAGTTGGCGCCACGAACATCAAGAAAAATGGCTAGAGGAAGAGCGGCCATCAAATGTTACCACTGAACCATGATTTTTTATCGCGGGCTATGGAAAATAGCGTCGGACATTTCTGGCTGCTATTCGACGCTATAGCGCAGCTATAGCGCCGCTATGACATAGTAGCGCCATGCTGTTTTTGCCGCTATTCGCGCTATTCGTGCTATTCGCGTTATTTGGCGCTATAGCGGCGCTATTTGACGCTATATAGCGTCAAATAACGTCAAATAGCGCCGCTATAGCGCCAAATAGCGCGAATAGCGGCAAAAACAGCAATAGCTTGGCGTTCGCTGATCTGAGCCGCTTATAGCGGCGCTATTTAAAACTATGCTCTGAACGATGGATAGTTCATGAGTAATGCCATTTATATATTTAATTTATTATAAAATCGAAATTGTCAAACGGGGGCAATACGAATGCGGTCCCACACAGGTGAAGCGCATCATAAGAGGGTTAGCCCAAATGAAGCCCAAGTGAGGTTCCATCCCAAAACCAATTGGTAGTAGGAGGAGTAGCCCACTAGGCTTATAAGTTAGGCCTATTTACCCTATCAAATTAATGTGGGACAACTCACAAGTGACATTCCAACAGAAATATCATTTTTCCGTGCATCGCACGAACCACGTACTAAATGCGTTTTTATTTCCTTTTACCAAGTCAAATCCAAACTTAAGTTTGTGTACAAATGATTTCATCGAACAATAACAATTAAATATAAATATTAATAAAACCGTGGAAACATATATTATATAATTATAAGAACAAGAATTTGTGCTCTCAATATTTCATTTTTCGAGTTATGCTCTTGGACGGGGTCCGTCGCGAGTGGTCAACGCCGTGGCTATTCTGCTGTTAAGCAAAGTCATAATTATGGTAACTATAATAATATTAAATAGTATTATCAATAATTGCGAATGAAATAAAAAAAAAAAAAGGAAGGATTATAGTCTTAAAAAAAATTAAATCAAATATTTTATATTGTGAAAGAAAATTGGTAACGTATGTTCTACGGGTTAAAGGGATTTGTGGTTTCGACTGTAGAGGACGCTTGTGAAATAATGACAGCTCATAAGAACAAAATTTGTGCATGTTTTTTTAAGGGGGCAGGCAAATGAAGACGACTACCACACTAGGGGTCTAATTGTATTTTATTCATATTGTCTCCTCGAAATTTATGTCACAATAAGTAATTAATATAAACCAGTGTGTAGCCCGTGCGATGCACGAAAACAATATTGTAAATAGATCTCGAGTTTGAGACACTCAATGGCGGAAGTGGAAACTACCATTGATCATATTTAAAAAGAGGAAGAAAAAATATGTATAAATTAAAGAGGAGGATAAATAATATTTAATAATTATAAATTAAAGATTCGGGGTCAAACAATGTAACATTATTTTATAAAACCATTTGAATTTAACATTGTGTAAAAAAATATTTTCCTATACTATTTTGTAAAGAAAATATATCTACAAATATTTAAATTTAACATCAATTATGTATATATATATATATTGTATATGTGTGTATATATAGACAAATATGTAAAGAAAAAAATATCTCAAATAATATAAGCCTAATTTAATAAACACATTATGTCATATGATTCGAATTTATGAATTTATGGTGTGACTTCCATCTAAAAAAATTTGATTACACACAATATCAATTATTATTATATTTTTTACGTTGTTATCGAGGATGTATTGTTAGCTTATAATATTTGAAAAATATTAGTAATTAGCAAGATGAAAATTGGCTTTTTAAAGTAGATAATGGATTTCTATTAGTAAATATAAATTGGTTTTTACTTTATTTTATTTTCTTAAATTTGTATAGATAAGGGATGAGATTTTTTAAACTAGGGATTTTGTAATAGATAAGAGATAAGCTCGTCGGTTGGTTAATTCTGCAAGCTATGAGGCACACGGGCTCGGTAGCCTTCTTAGGCTCGGTTATGGTCCCGTCGGCGACTAACCGTCCAGTCGACCACATCCCGAAACCCAAAGATTCATTTATAGTCCTACGTCGTCTAAAGTTATTCATACGGTACTAGGGTTCGGGTGATGATACTCAGATCTAAAAATTACCCGATTAAGGGATCAGATAAAATTAGAATTATAATTTCACGACTAAACTACCTCATTTTAACCAGAAACTTTAACCCTAAGTTTAACATGATTTATAATTATTTTACATCTAACAACTGCAGCTAAATCGCAACCGGATTAATTACTAAAAATATAGCAAAATGAGGCTAATGTCCCTAATTTTAAACTATACCAAATGAACTCAAAAAATTTTAACATCTTTACCACATTATCCTCAGAATATTTATGATTTATGGTAAAATTATCATAGCAATATGAAGCGTCTAACTTAGTAAACAAAGATCGGGCATTTCGGCTCTAGATTCTAAAATTCGGTTAACATAGAAAACGACCCCCAAAATTCATGAAACTTTAACATAAGCCTCAAGACATCAGAATAGTTTATCCAATTGGAATTACATTTTTTGGATTGGCTCACAATATACTAAGAATGTATAGCCATTTTAATCAATAAATTCATATAAAATCATATCTAGCTCAAAATCCTCACTTTTTATTTTTATAATTAACTAAAAATGATGTTTAAGGCCATGGAGTTGGAGATCAAGCCAATATACCTTAATATGGACTCGAAAAAAAATTGAAATATAGCTAGGGATAGTGAACACTCTTGTGCTCGCAATCGGGTCGGACTGGCGGATCGGGCTAAATTCTAGGTTGAATAGCTAAGATCTGATGCAGCTGGGATGGTTTTGGTGCTGGCTCTAACGGATCGGGAAGCTCGGGCGCGGATCTGGACTAAGATGGCTTGGTCGTGGGCTTGCGAGAGTGGGTTCGCTAGTGTAAGAACGTGGGCTGTTGAGAGCGGCTCGTATGGACGCGGGTGGCTTGATCGGCTAGCCGGTTGCTCGCTGGCATACGAACGATGCATGTACGGACACAAGATGAACGGATTGGGGCTACTCTAGTCTATAACGCGACGTGCGGACGGTTGTTGCGGCTTGGACGGGAGCTAGTTGCTCTGGTATGGACACGTGAAATGACATGTGTATGGACACGGATATAAGGTTCGCGCCCATACAAGGGTGCAGTGGAGCTCGTGTATATATGGTGCGAGTTAAACGGCGTGAAGGTCTGGACTCGTACAGACGGTGAAGGGCGCACGACGACTGAACGGGTCGTGAATGGCGAGCTGCCGACGTGGACGTGGTGACGAGTTGCGAGGTCGGTTGTGGCTGTGTGAGGTGGTTGCGGGTTTGTGAACGCGGCTTGATGGTGGTGCGAGCTTGGAGCACCGATGTGAAGGTCGCCGGAGCTAAGACGACGGGGGCTCGCCGGAGCTACGAGGTGGTGGCCGAATTTTATGGTGAATGAAGGTGGATTGCTCTTGAGCTTGAAAATGAAGAGGAAGATGAAATGTTCTAGAGTTTGCAAATGAGTGAGATGATGTTGTATTTATAGGTGTGTGAGAATTAGGGTTTGAGTATGATTTTTGGCTTTTAAAAATGGGCTAGAAGAATTGGACTATATAATCGGGATTGGTAACTTATTTGACTGTGGCTTAAGTTTGTACATTAAATTAGGCTCGGTAAATAAACGATAGCTTGAATTAAAATTGTCTCGACTATAATAGGCCGAATTAAAATGGCTCGAAAAAATTGGGCCTACTTGGGCTCGGTTATTTAAATATACTAGCCTAGAAAATAATGCTAACCGGGGCTATTAATAAAATGTTGGCTTGGGCCGGTTGACCGGAATAAAATGGCTCGCTTAGATGGGCTCGAAAAATAGAGCTCGAAAATTGGGCTCATTCGGAAATTATATAAATTTCCAACTTTTCTAATACTCAATTAATATAATAAATCGAGACTTTGACTTTAAATTCTATTTCGTTTCTGAAATAAAATTCAAACGTTTTTTGCATGGCTTAGACTTAGGATTTATTAAAAATAAATGCACGAAAATAAGAAAATCAAACACTACTTAAACAATTAACCCGAGAATAAATGAAACTATTTCCGGAAACTATTTTCGAGCTCCTAAAGTAAGGAAAGTTCAGGGCTTACTAGGGGTGGGACCGGTCCGGTTATCAGCCAAATTTGGAAGAACCGACACATAATACATGTGCAATTTTTCGGTTCGGTTACTATAAATTTTTTATCAATAACCGAAGTGGAACCGAACCGACCAATTTCGGTTCGGTTCCACCGGTTTTTTGGTTAACCGAATGCAACAGAAAAAACCGGAATTAACCGGTTCTTGTTGTAGGAACCGGTCTTTGCAATACCTTACAACAATCATGATTCACCTAATATATATGATTCAACTTAAAACTTACAAGCCAAAGTCCACATCCACAATCCAACCTTCAGAAATCAGTAATCACAATCAGTACATCATGAATCAAATTTCAACTTACAAGAAGCTTCAGTACAAATTATAATCATGATTCATAAACCACAACAGTACAATAACACATCATCAAATCAACATACTATTTGAATTACAAAGCCAAATTCCACAATCCATAATCCGTAATCCACAGTCACAATCCAATAGCCACAACCACAATGCCCACAGGCCATAACAGAACATATCAGTTACATAATACATAGTTGACAGTTCAATATTCCAATTCAAAGTTCAAACTTCAAGTTCAAACATTCAAATCAAAGCTCAAAGCTGAAATTCAAAACTCAAAAGTTAAATGGCATATTACAATTCACATTTTATTTTTGGAAGAAGTTCCTGCATCAGAGCCTTTGGATCCTTTTGCAACTTTATTTTTCTTTTCAATCAACTCCATTTCCTTTTGTTTCTCCAACTTCTCTCTATGCTATCTCTCCTCTTGGTCCAATTCTGCCAATTGCCAAAACATAAAGTCAGAAATAAAAAAAGGGGAAATAAAGTTATAAATGACACTAATCAAGTAATTGCAAAAATTACACATGTGAAATATAAGTAATAAGTATAACACTATAACTCACCTTGTTCAGTTTTTTCAAGCCATTCAATTTCATCTGGGGTAGGAGTATATGCAAGGGTTGTTATTGTATCAGACTTAAGCCAACTTTGAAGACAAATCAGTGCTTCCACTGATCTAGGAGTTAATGAACTCCTATGAGGATCAATAACTCTTTTCCCAGTGCTAAAACTTGACTCAGAAGCAACAGTACTAACTTGAATGGCTAGCACATCTTTAGCAAGTGCTTGCAAATTAGGATACTTACCTCCCATTATCCTCCACCATGACAATATATCAAATTCAATTCCTGGACCTGGCTTTTCAATGGGATCAAGTAGATATCTGTCTACCTCATGAGCAACTACAACAGCATCAACATCCTCAAGGTCTTTTTTCCAATCTTCCATCATTTTTGCTTTCTTTCCTGTCAGCTTCTTTGAAGAACAACTATAATATAAAACAATACAAGTAAATGAAACCAGAAACATGATGAAATCATAAAAGAACTAGTTAACTATGAAATAAAATAGAAATATAAAAGTAACAATGAGTAGTTATTACCTGCTTCCACTCTCAGTCCCAGTTTCAACACCATCTATCCTTTTTGTGCTAGAATTTTGTACACCATTCATTGAAGCATACAAGTCAGTGAGGGTAACAATCAACTCTTTCAACCTTTCTGTCTTCATTTTTATGGTAAAGGCATCATAATTCAACATCCTCTCAAGAACCTTAGTGAAATACCTTAGTTTGAACCTAGGGTCTAACACCAAAGCAACAACCAGAAGCTGATTTACATCATCTAGTGAATCAAAGTACTTGTTGTACTTGCTCCTCATTTGGACTGACATATTAAACAATGTTTTCTCATAATCTGTACTGTGGTTTGTGATTGGTGCATCAAAAATCTCTTCAATCTCACATTTAATTGAAACAATATCATGGAATGCTTTGTGAGCAGTAGGTTTGCTTGAAGCACTAACATTCAATGTGACATCAAAAAACACTCTCAAAAACTTGACAAATGCAACAGCTTTTTCCCAATCATCATCTGTTGGAGGCCCCACTTTCTTCCCTCTCCCCACAGTCCCCACATCTTCTCCTTCTTCCTCATTTTCCTCATCATCCTCATCAAAATAACTTTTATACTTAGTGTCCTCTTCTTCAGCCAATCTATCAAATGCTTGCCTAAGTTCAACAGCAGTTTCAAGCATAATAAAGGTGGAATTCCACCTAGTTGGCACATCCAAAACACACACTTTTCTACTCTGAAGTTCTTCTTTTCTTACACATTCTTTAAAGGCTTCCAACCTTGAAGGTGAGCTCCTAACATATTTTACAGCATTTCTAATAGAAGCAATTGACTTATCCATGCATTTAAGTCCAGATTTGACAATAAGATTGACAACATGAGCTAAGCACCTCATATGAAGAAACTTTCCCCCTAGAATCAATTGTCTTTCACCATTGCATAGTTTCTTTCTGATGTAATCTATTGCCACTTTATTTGCAGATGCATTATCAACAGAAATTGTTAAAATCTTCTTGATAGACCAATCCTGCAAACATTTTTCTAAAATCTTCCCTATAGTTATTCCTTGATGATTAGGAATCACACAGAAGTTCAACACCCTCTTGTGCATATGCCAATTGCTATCAATGAAATGTGCTGTAATGACCATGTAATTTATGTTTTGAATCGAGGTCCATGTATCAGTGGTCAAACTAACACAATGATTCCTAAGTTCATCTTTCAGACACTCTCTTTTGGTATTATACATGCTCAAAAAATGTTTCACCACCATTTTTCTACAGGGGATCTTCCATTTTGGCACAACAACTGAACAAAATCTTTTAAACCCCAATTTCTCAATAGCACTAAATGACAATTCATCTATAATTATCATTTCAACAGCAGCCTTAGTGCAATTTTCTTGGGTCCAGTGTGTGACAATCGATTCATTACCCTCTACATCTCTTGAAAAATGTTTTTGACCAGAACCAGAATTTCTTACACTACCCGGATAACCATCACAATGCAGTTCTAAATGCTTTTGAAGTGTACTAGTTCCATTTCTCGTTGAATTGCAAGCCAAGTCAGAATCACAATACCTGCATTGAGCTCGATTGGTTAATCCAACTTGGACCATTATCCCCTCCTCGTTTCTACTCATCAGAGGCTTTTGCACCACCGCAAAATGCTTCCACACCCATGATTTCTTTTTTGTCTCGGTTTGCTCGTGTGCCCTCTTGCTCTTATTCCTTGAATTTTGCCTCGGTACTTTTTTTTGCCCTAATCTTTTGCCCTCTTTTTCGATTTCATCTTGATCTTTGTCTGATTTTTGAGAGTCACTGGTTTTGTCGGAACAAGATGCCATATGAAGAAATCACACAAGACTGGAGATTGAATGGTTGAATGGAATTTGGGAAATAGGAATTCGAACGATTTAGGGTTTTTCTTATCTCAATTTTCTGTAGAACTTCGAAGAGAGAGAGAGTGAGAAGTGAGAAATGAGAAATGATAAAATAAATTGATAAATGATAATTAATGAGTATTGAGATTTGAGAATAAATGAAAAATCAAAAATTGAAAATAAAATAATAAATAATCAATAATTAATAATAAGTTTGGGTTGGGCTGTTTTTTTATTTTTACTTTGTATGTGTGTGTTAGTGGGCTCAACCTGCCATCGGTCCATCATCTTTCAATAATGAATTGGGCCCGACGCCCACTTAATATAATATATATGTATTAAATGTGACCATTTACCGGTTCCTCGGTTAAGTTTAAGCAATCTGTTCAATAACCGAAAACCGGGAACCGATTTGTAGCATGCAGAACCGGACCGAGAAAAAGTGTATTTTTTAGCAAATAACCGGACCGAACCGGTTAATTTCGGTTCGGTCCGGTTCGGTTTTGCGGTTCCCGGTTTTAATATCCCACCCCTAGGGCTTACAATTAAATCCCTGCATTTTCCTAGTCTAAGGCCACGAGTGAGACCTCATGCTTTTTGATTTCTTAAAAGGCTGAAGGGACCTCTACACATTCCTTCGTGTACCAAGCCACATACTATCGCAATATTTCACCTTCTTTTGTTGCATATTGATCAGTGATATGCACGTCTTCTCGTGCTTTGTTGCGCTTGCGAACTGGTTCCTAAATAAAGAGTCAAACCTATCAGAGCGATGGATGGACCCAATTGGCAACTGGTGCAACCAATCTTGAGCCGACCTTTTTAAAGTTGTAAGAAATCCCTGCAGCTAATGACGTCGATATATCTATGGACAACTGTTATATTGTCGAACGACCTCAAGTTCCTCGCGGGGTCTGTTTAGCCATCATATAATAGACTTAGTTCTTGGAAATTATTAGGTAGGTCACTTTTTTAAGACCTCTTCCGAAATGATGACCAAGCGATTGAGGTGCTGCCCTGTTCTAAATATGAGCCTGTAAGTCACGCATCAGTGCTACTAATTATTCAAGTGCGACATTTGGGGTCGGTTGTGACGTAGTGGTTTGTGACACGATTTTTCTTGTCCCGTCTTTGTCTGGTCACTCATGTGGCTGAGGTTACTACTGATGCGGCAACTGTTGCTGGGGCAGTGGCTGCTGAGGTTCGATCAGTGCCTGCCTATTTGGCCCTTGACCTTGATTCACAGTCTCTGCTATGATCCTATCTAACTCTGTCCTAGAGAACTTAGTCTCCCATAGAGGGCAGAGGAATTAGGTTGTCCCTTAGAAGCTCATGCTCCTCAGATGAACAAGCTGACCATCTCTCTCTTGAGCGTCGCTGGGCCCCGAGCCCTCTTGCTGGTCCTCTTCCACAGTTAGCTAGTCCCCGACCTCCTGTCTCTTATCCTTCTGGTGGACCGACTTGTTCTGATTAGCTGATATTCCTGCTCTTGTGTAGGTCTTCCAGAGGTGCTCAATAACGGTGTTAACGCTGTACTAGACGCTGATAATGTTTCTTTGCGCGAGGACATGGCTAGTTGACTGCCACCAACTAGGTGAGAAGCCCGTTCTGAATGCTCTCCTTATCCATGCTTCATCCAAGTCCTTTGTCAAGATTTTCTTAGATTATCGTTTGCCATAATCTTCGAATAACTTCGATCTAATGTGAGAAAAAAATCAACCTCTTATATCTAGTAAGAGACTACTTGTTCCCATAGACGATGCCAATTTGTTACTCAAATTTTCCCAATATCTGGTTGAACTGCAGCCCATGAGCTCGAATTGGTTCGTCTTCTCCGATGATCTATAAAATGCCGAGAATGGTCCCTGCAGTAAAAGTTCCGACGTTCAAGTTAGTCCGTGTATAGTGAATAATGAAAGCGATTATATTAAGATCTATACGTATATGTGTGTTGTGTAAAAGTGAGAATCTGTACACCTTTTTATATCTAGGGTTGCATAATGGCCAAGAGACTCTTAGTATGGTAAGAAGTCCTCCTTTATCTTCCTTCTTAACTAACTAAACCTTTCCATGTCTTTTAGTGTCCTTGAGGGTATACACTTTTCATCCAGAAAGGATTTTGTTTATGCTAGTTGTACGTTTCCTATGTCTCTAGATCAATCTTGACTTTGGTACCGTCCTGCCCCATACCGAGGACGATCTCTCTGGCTTACATATATTGAAGTCGAACTTCGGTCCAGGTATGCTAAGGTCGACTACCTAACCCCAACCTTATGAGGTCTCTCCTCTATTTGAGCTCAGAGGTCTCTCTTCGCCCGAGCTACGTGCCTCTCTGGTTTTCCGACCCTCTGAGCCCTATGAGGTCGGATGATGATCGTCCTGGCCTGATGTTAATTAGATCTAGCCCTCAGACAATTCGGTTGTCAAGCCTCTTGAGGTCAGTCGATTATGGTTCGACAAAGCTACTAGACTAAGTCGGACTGTCCGATCTGAAATCGACCAATGCCGAGCTGATATTTCGAACAGTTCGAGCTACCTGTTCTAGATACTATATCAATATGAATTTAAAGATGTCAAGTTAATCCTATGGCCAAAATTAACATATCCACAATTCCATATTAATATGGACCTTTTTTGACGGGCCCAATTCCTCCATTTTTTTTTTTCTCTCTCTCACATCTGCATTTTCTCTCTCCTCAACCACCCACCTTGTATCCTCACACAACCATATCTTTTTTCTTTCTACGGCGGCGCGTGTATCCCGCTCGCCCTCGTAAAATTGAAAATTTTACCTGGACATGGGTCAGGCCACCTCGAACCACGGCTATTCCCCCGGTGGAAGCGGCGGCGGTGCGGGGTCAGGTCATCTTCGCAACCATAGCGTCGACCTCCTCCACCTCCGCTCCACGGCCGTTAATCTCCATGTGCCGGATATGTCCTGCGCGAATCAACTGCAAATCGACTACACTTCCGAGATCCCCGACGAGTGCTTGGCCCTGATATTCCAATCGCTGAGCTCCGGCGATCGGAAGCGCTGCTCGCTGGTCTGCCGCCGCTGGCTTTCCGTGGAGGGCCAAAGCCGCCACCGAATCGCGCTCAACGCGTCCGCGGAGGTCTCCGAGCACCTCCCCGCCATCTTCACCCGGTTCGACTCCATCACCAAGCTCGCCCTCCGTTGCGACCGGAAGTCCGTCAGCATAAACGACGACGCCCTCACCCTAATATCCCTCCGCTGCCACAACCTCACCCGCCTCAAGCTCCGGGGCTGCCGCGAGATCTCCGACCTAGGTATGTTGGCTCTCGCCAGAAACTGCAAATCCCTCCGCAAATTCTCCTGCGGATCGTGTATGTTCGGCGCCAAAGGCATGAACGCGCTTCTGGACAACTGCACCTCCCTGGAGGAGCTTTCCATCAAGCGGCTGCGGGGGACCAACGACGGGTACGCAGCTGAGCCGATCGGCCCCGGGGCAGCGGCTTCATCTCTCAAATCAATCTTGCTCAAGGAGCTCTACAACGGTCAGTGTTTCGGGCCTCTGATTATTGGATCTAAAAATTTGAAATCCCTAAAGATCTTAAGGTGTTTGGGGGATTGGGATCGATTACTGGAGACGGTCACCAAGGGGAAAAGCTGTCTGACCGAAATTCATCTGGAGAGGCTGCAGGTGAGCGATGCTGGCCTAATTGCCATCTCAAAATGCCCAGATTTGGAGATCTTTCACTTGGTGAAGGCTCCCGACTGCTCGAACGATGGAGTTCTGGCCATTGCGGAGAACTGTAGGCTTTTGAGAAAGCTCCACATAGACGGGTGGAGGACAAACAGGATAGGTGATGAAGGTTTGATTGCCATAGCCAAGAACAGCGTGAATCTCGTCGAATTAGTGCTTATTGGCGTAAACCCTACCTCTGAGAGCTTGATGGCTATGGCTTCCAACTGCCTAAAGCTGGAAAGATTGGCTCTTTGTGGCAGTGAATCAATTGGGGACCCTGAGATCTCATGCATTGCGTCCAAATGCAACGCGCTAAAGAAGCTTTGTATAAAAGGCTGTCGTGTGACAGACTCTGGGATCGAGGCTTTTGCTTTTGGGTGCCCGAATTTGGTGAAGATTAAAGTCAAGAAGTGTAGGGGGGTTACTAGTGAGGTTGCCGATTGGCTTAGGGCAAGGAGGATGACTTTGTCCGTGAATTTGGACGCGGACGAGATAGAGCCCGAGGCTCTGGATGTCAGCACGAGTGATGGGGGTGTGCAAGCATACAACATAGAGTTGCCGGCCGTAATGAATGGTCCTGCAAATGTAGGTGCACCATCGACAAGTAATGCGGCCAGGTTGCCTATTAAGTCAAGGTTTAGCATTTTCGCGGGGAGGACACTCGTGGCTTGTGCCTTCCGGAGGCTGTCGAGCGGTAACAGTAATTCAAATGGTAGCTTGTGAATGTGGGAAAAGAAAAGGATGAGTGTGTTGAGCATTGGAGTTGCATGTGTTTTTCGCGCTTGTACGTGTCTTCATTTTTGGGTATAATGTGTTTGGGATTTGCTGCTTGTTGTATGTAAACCGGCGGCCACTTAAAAATGTGCACATTAAGATTCCTTTTATTATGATACAATGTGATTGATCATTTCTGTTCTGTTACTCTGTGCATTTGAATAGCGAGCTTTTTTATGTGTGATGATGAGTTGAATTCTTTGAGTTGTGAGGAGTGATTTAACATCTGGTGCGATGCCTTGTTCATTTCTTGGTGGTTTGGGCGATTCTCGATTCTTATCTTCTTCTCTTTGGGTTCGGGTTTTGTTTACCTTCCTTACTGTGGATACTGTAAAGAATTTGTTCTTATCTGCTAGGAGAAAAGGTGGTTAGTAGTTTTTTCAGTTGTGTGCTTATTGTATTTGGTGTGACAGCAGAATGTGGGTCATCTTTATCTGAATCATTGAATTCATTAGTTATTTTGCACGATATGCTGTGAGTGGATTGATTGTTTGTTGATCTTTGTAGTTCACATTGACTTTGAACCAGTCAGTCCATTGAGGCTTAAGTTGAAGCAGTTCTTCTAGGGCATCTTAAAACATTATTATATTTTTGACAATTTACAGAAGACCTTGAAATGTCTACAGTTATATAGACTGGTGCAGACTAATTCCCTACATCATAGACCTCCCTTTATTTTTATTTTTTTTTATTTATTTTTCGAAACGATAAATATAATAAAAACTAAAAAACTCAAAGAGTAAAATGACTTCATTTTAGGTGATTTCATCATGTCTTACACTCTTTTGAATTTAGGTTCTTTCATTATGTCTTACACTTTTGATATTACACTTAACACAATTACATTCCTCAAATTTTCTGATGAAATGTTGTCATCCTCAAGAGTCTGTTGTATCACCACAATATCTTTCTTTTGCGAATTATATGGAAATATAAATAAATATAATTTATGGTGGTTATGGAAAACTCGGAATTTATGGGTGTTTCAGAACCTTTGGAAATCAGAGAATGAGATTGTGTAATCAACTTGCTTGGAATGGAAGAAATTCTTCTCTCTAAATTTGTTGGCCCTTTTTTTTCCCGCACAAATCTGTTGGCCCTTGCTCGTGCATATTTGCTAGTTTCTTTAGTGTTTGGTACTTGTTTTGGTTTCTTTCTGTGTTGTATTTTCCCTTGGCTATGCTCTCTGAGCAATGGTTAGTTTGTTTTTGCTCCTGGTGTTTGGGTGTTAAGAGCATCTCCAGGTGTTAAGAGCATCTCCAGTGTGTTAATGTGAATGTGAAATGTTCATGACACGTGTTTGTAAATAATTGGACAACTAATTCCCTTAATTAAATCAACATTGACAGTAGGAATTGTAACAACAAAATACTTCGTACAATGCATCACTTTCTTTTATACTGGATTCTGTTAAATTAATTTTTAAACGCACTATACACTGATTTTTAAACACTATACTGGGATTCTGTTAAACTGATTTTTGGACTTCTAATAGATTGAATGAGTTTCTAGTAGCATCTGGATTTTAAACACTATACTAGGATTCTGTTAAACTAATTTTTAGACTCCTAATAGATTGAACGAGTTTTTAGTAGCATCTGGATAACGAGTTAACAAGCCTATCTCCTAATATATCATTAAAACATGGAGCTTGTTATTCCACAAAAATACACTTCAGTTGAGAATATTAAATCATAAACCTCATATTATCGTCAGATTTGATTTTAGAATATTTAGAGACTCCAATCTTGATTTTATACATATTTGGAGACTCGTGTGTGTTTACGTACACTTCAATCAGGTTTTCACGTTTTTCTCCACTTTCCCAAACTTTTTTCCCACGATTCTACGAATTTTTGGACATTTATTACGAGTCATACTGTAAAAAAGACAGTTTGGTTTCAAACAGTGGGATTCACTACTGTCAAGCCACGTCAGATAAAATTAGACCACGACAGAACCCATTGGAGAGATAAATATGAAGACGTTATATCTAATAGTGACATGACAGTAATTTTTTTCATTTGACAGCAACTCATTGGAGTTGCTCTAGGGACCTCAGATTCTACTGCCCTTCGTCTGTATCAGTTTTGCTGCCTTTCTTGTGTGCTTAGCCCCTCTTATGTGGATTCTCCTAATTCATTGTTCTATGTTGGCTAGTTGGCCTCCTGAAATTTGTACATTTTTAAGTATATTGATTCTATCGCTTTGAAAAAAAAAAAAAA